TCAGCGCTGACCCTCCGACAGTGCCCGCTCCCTCAGCGCTGACCCTCTGAGAGTGCGGCGCTCCCTCACTTCTCCTCCCATCTTTGAGCAGAGAGAGAGAGGGAGGGAGATGGTGATGGACATGGACAGAACGAGAGACGAAGCGGTTTAGGGAGGGAACTCCAGAGCTCAGGACACAGGCACCAAAGGTGGGACGATGGGACTCGAGAGATATGTGAAGCCTCCAAAAGTACCTTCTATGTCCTCAATGTAGCAGTAGACATCGTACATGTTGTCAGGGTCTTGCGTCCCATAGTTACGGACACCAGGGAAACCGTCCATGTCCCCGTAGCAACCAGGTCGTGGGGCATGTATGGGATAGCTGTAGCAAGGGGGGGCACAGACAGTTACAACCAAGACTCAACCAGAACTTGGGAAATAAACTTTCAAACAAGATCCCACTCCGCTCCCGCTCCAAAACAACGGCGCTGGGGATTAAGGGCACTTTTGAATTTGCATAGAACTGCAGAGGATGGATATCTGAACTGAAAAAGCTGGAGAAACCAGGACTTGAGCGAAAGATGCCCTTAGGTTTCAGATTAGGTCAGAGTCATGGTTTGGTTTCGCATCTTTTTTCTGGTTAACCTGATCAGAGATGTTGTTACAGCCGTGTGCGGCAGGTGGGATTTGAATATGGACCTCCTGGCTTAAAGGTAGGGATACTACCACTGCAACTTAAGAGTCTATTGGTGGGGCTGGTTTAACTTTTTCTTGCTTCTTTTCTACCCAGAACTGTATTACACACACTTAAGTGCCTTCCTAGCACTGAAATCACAGTGGGTGGCACAGGGGCTCAGTGGTTAGCACTGCGGCCTCACAGCGCCAGGGACCCGGGTTCGATCCCACCCTCGGGCGACTGTCTGTGTGGAGTTTGCACATTCTCCCCAGTGTCTGCGTGGGTTTCCTCCGGGTGCTCCGGTTTCCTCCCACAGTCCAAAGATGTGCAGGTTAGGGTGGGTTGGCTGTGCTAAATTGCCCCGTAGTGCCCACGGATGTGCGGGGTTACTGGGGATGGGGATGGGGATGGGGATGCTGATGCTGTTCAGAGGGTCAGTGTGGACTTGTTGGGCCGAATGGCCTGTTCCCACACAGCCTACGATTCTACATCCAACTAGGTATTTACGCACAAAGCCCTGTATAGACACTGAAACCATTAAAGCAGCCCCCCAATTTGATTGCAAACCATTGAAGATAAGAGACAGGGATCGGGACAAAATCAAAATGGAGTTGGGTGGTGAAAATATAGTGCTAGATCCCTCACGGTGCCCTTCCGTACTATGATTAAGGATAGGGATAGGGATACTTTAGGATTAGGAATGAAGGCTAAATTTAAATTAGATTTGGGATTAGGATCACGTTAAGAGTTACATTCATGTTTTGGGGTGAGGGCTAAATTATTCAGGATGGCCACAGAGTTAAGAGTTAGGAGACGGTTAGATTAGAGGTAGGATTAGGGTTACGTTAAGAGTTATGGTCATATTTAGGGTTAAATTACGTAACCTTATTAGGGCTTGCGCAGGAAATTAGAGTTGGGATAGAGTTACGATAGGATTAGGTTAGAGTGAGGATTTGAGCTACGTTCAGAGTTATGGTTGGGTTAAGGGGTGAGAGGTAGGTTATATAATGTCATTAGGGATTGGACGCAGGAGGTTAGAGTTGGCACAGAGTTAAGATAGGCTTAGGTTAGAGTTAGGATGATGGTTAGAGTCAGGTTAGGGATCCAAACATAATGGACAGTTAGAGTTTAGTTTCTGGTCATTTACAAGGATGTTGCCAGGGCTGGAGGGTTTGAGCGAAAGGGAGAGGCTGGGGCTATTTTCCCTGGAACATCGGAGGCTGAGGGGGTGACCTGTAGAGGTTTATAAAATCATGTGGGGCATGGGTAGGGTGAATAGCCGAGGTCTTTTCCCCCAGGGTAGGGGAGTCCAAAGCTAGAGGGTATAGGTTTAAGGTGAGAGGGGGAAAGATTTAAAAGGGACCTGAGGGGCAACTTTTTCACACAGAGGGTGGTGTGTGTATGGAATGAGCTGCCAGAGGAAGTGGTGGAGGCTGGTACAGTTACAACATTTAAAAGGTACCTGGATGGGGACATAGATAGGAAGGGTTTAGAGGGATAGGGGCCAAATGCTGGCAAATGGGACTGGATTAATTTAGGAAATCTGTTTAGCACAGATGAGTTGGACTGAAGGGTCTGTTTCTGAGCTGTACAGCTCTCTGACTCTAAACAGGACCAGATTAATTTGGGATATCTGGGTTGGTGCGGATGGGTTAGAACAAAGAACAAAGAACATTACAGCACAGGAACAGGCCCTTCAGCCCTCCAAGCCTGACGCTATCCGTCACAACTAAAAGCCCCCTACCCTTCCAGGGACCCTATCCCTCTATTCCCGTCATATTCATGTATTTACCCTTTGAAAGTCACTATGGTACCTGCTTCCACCGCGTCCCCCTGGGCAGCGAGTTCCAAGCATCCGCCACCCTCTGTGTAAAAAACCAAAGGGTCTGTTTCCATGCCGTAAATCTGGGTCATTTCATTGGACACAGGGTGGGGCAACTCAATGAAGTGGATAGGTGGGTGAGGGTTAGGAGCGAGGGTTGGCATTACTGTCATTGTACATGGCACAGGGCACAGTGACAATGCTGCAATACCCACGCCCCAACACCCCACCATACACCACCACGCCCCACACCCCCACCCCAAGGGGGCACTGACAGAGAGGGAGGGTGGGCACGCACCGCACGGCCTGATCACAGAAAGGGACGGTCTGATCACAGAGTGGGAGGGTAGGCACAGTCTGATCACAGAAAGGGAGGGTGGGCACGGTCTGATCACAGAGAGGGAGGGTGGGCACGGCCTGATCACAGAGAGAGAGGGTGGGCACGGCCTGATCACAGAGAGGGAGGGTGGGCACGGCCT